GAGAGAAAGGGGGAGGAATATGAGTGGGGCAAATTTTTTTTCTTATTGTTCTTGTTCTTGTTCTTGTTCTTGTTCTTGTTCTTCCTTCCTCCCTGCCCTGCTTCTCAGTGAATCACCCTTGTGGTCTCCTGTTCCCTGTGCCTGCCGCTCAATCCTCTCCCCTTCCTGTTTTTTTTGCTTCCGTTCTGTTTTGTTTCCTTTTTTTGCTCGCTCCCACCTTCGCTCCTCCCCCTGAATGGACGTGTAGTTGCCGAGTCAGTCAGCGACGGCGTGAGAGAGAGAGGGGAAAACGGGGTTGTATGCTGCGGTATGTATATATATATACTGCCTTGAGAAAGTGGGGGGAAAAAAAAAACTTGTGGCGAATTGTTGCCTATGACGCCTCCCCGTCGTGTTCCGCCTGATTTCCTTGTGTCCCTTCCCACACCCGCGCGCCCGCCTCTCTCGCCAGGCCGTCCGCCGCGAGCCAAAGCGAGAACGGAAGGGGCCCAGCCGCGTGGGAAGGGAATTACAGATGGGCACCGGAAGAGCGTGCGGTGACGGTCCCTGCCGAAGCCACTGTTCCGTCAGCCCAAGCGAGAAGGATAGAGGGAGAGAGAGAGAAGATGCACTCCCTGCGGCCGAGCAGGTGCATGGAGAAAATGAAAAGAAGAGAAGAGGAAGGGGGGTTTGTCGTCACCATCATCATCATCGGTGGCAGCGGCAGCCAGAGAGCCGTTGACACGCTGAAGCTGCGGGGGGTGGTAAAAAAAAGAGGGGCGCACACCGTGAGCCCACGCCGCCCCGGCCTCCACGCAGCAGGCAGGCGGGCAGGCCGCAGACGAACGAGAAGCCACGGGCCTCCGCTCGGTCCATTTCGCCTACAATTTATTCTACACACGCACACAAACGAGTGCCGCCTACTCCCACTCGAGCCGCAAAGGCCTGGAGAAACCCCCCTCACCCCCTCCACAAAAAAACAACAACCTCAAAACAACACCAAACACGCCCCACAGAAGCACACGGAAAAGTGGGTGGAGGAATAGCTGCAGCGAGGGAGGGCGAGGGCGAGGGCGAGGGCGGCAAAAATGAAAAGAGGAAAAAAAAACAGGGCGAAGGGGAAGTACGCGAAAAGCCCCAAATAAAGCGACGCAGGGGTCTGCGAAACTTCATCGTGTGCGCGGAAGGCAGCATAGGCCTCCCCCGCTTGTCCCCCACCCCCGCCCCTGCCGATTCCCGCCTCTCTCGCCTCATCCCTCTTCGGCGCCGCCCCGCTGACGCCGTCCCTTACCGAACTCCCTTTCGACTTTGGGCCTCACCTCCGTGCACCGCGGGGCGCCAATCACGCCGTGCACCATCAGTTCCCGGCGAAACACAATCCCGAGGGCGACGAGGGCCACGCAGGAAAAGAAGAGATCACGCTTGTACATCCGAAACAGGTTGGCGACACGCTCCGTAAACGGCGTGGTGCTGCTCCTTGCAAAGCGCGGCGGCATTCTCTCCCCTTGTACGTTTTCCCTTCCTTTTATGCTTCCAAATGAGATCTTCTTGCAAGTGTGGAGAGCAAAGAACAAGGGGCAAAGTAAAGAAAAGGCAAAGGAAAAACAGATCAAATTACTGTCACAACGCTGCCTCGGTGAGTGGGCAACACACACACACACACAGCTCCGCAGCTTCGCTCACCACCGCACCAAAATTTGTCATCCTTCGTGTCTGACACCCAACGGGAGCGAAGCACAAACATGAGCGCACCGACAAGAGAGAGAGAGTGAGAGAGGTGGGTGGGGTGTCAGTCTTCTCTGCGGTAGTTTTCTGCAGCATGGTGCAATGCGTTCTGTCGAATCGAGATGAGAATCATCATTTGCTCGTGGGTGACCTGGCGGCTCTTCGAATGGGGTAACGCCGCAGCAACTCATGAGAGGAGCCCATCTGCAGCTGACTGCCCAGTCGTGGGTGGGGAACGTGGCAGGGGCCGGTGCTCGCGTATGTGTGGGCGCGTGCGTGGGGAGGGGAAAGAGGGGAAGACGGCGTAGGTGCTGTGCGGCCTTCAAACAACAGAAGCAAAGAAGCAAGGTCTATTCTCAGGCTTATCAGGTAGCCAAGACACACACACACAAGCACACACACACACACAGCTCCACAAGTTCGCGGGGTTTGCCGCATGCATGCATGCGTGTCCACAGGATCTTAAGAGGCGGGGTTAGGAAGGGAAACACTGGCAAGCGCGTTCGCACATCCCATCCATGCACAGTTGGTGGCTGCGGGAGTAAAAGACAGAGGAGAATAGTACAGGACGCATGAAGTTGTATCGTTTTTTTTTTGCTTCGCCTTACCACCAAGTGGGGCTATCGACCACCCGCTTTTTTCTTCTTTTCTTCTTTTCTTGCTTTGCTCACACGAGCGCCAGTGAGTCGAGGGCGGCAATACCCCGCATGACACCGCCGTCGTCCACGTCCGCCGGCTTTGAGCGCACGGCGTAGCCGGCGCACTCGTTCCGTAGCAGGCAGCCGTCCGCGTCGGAGAGAATCACGCCGTAGATGCCAAGCTCGGAGCAGAGGTTGTTCTCCAGCTGCACCACGCTGCCGTGGACGAGGAGGGCGCCGGAGCGCACGGGGACGTTGATGCGAGACATCAAAATATACTCCCGCCGAACCCTGCGGTAAAGCACCGCATCCGCAGCTTCTGTGGTCCGCAGCACCTCCTGCATGGCCTCGCCGGAGAGCAAATTTCCGCCGCCCTCCAGCTGCGGCTTCAGCACGTACCGCGCGGGGTGCTGCAGGGCGTCGGCTATGACGCGCCGCACCGCCTCCTCGCCCACCTCCGCCGGGTTAAGGGAGTACTGCGGCACAAAGTGGCTCTGCAGCTGCTGCGCCTTCGCCGCGTCGCCGGCAAACGCAATCGGGACGAGAACGTTGTCCACGTCGCAGAAAAGTTGCTGCAACTTTTTAAACGTAAGCAGATGGTACGGAATGCTCGGACACTTAATGGCGCTGCTGCGCTCCAGCGCCAGCCGCGCGGCCCACGCCTCCTCCGTCGGAAGGTCCTCCGGCACATACGTGCTGCGAAAGTACGCCACCGCCACCGGGTAGCGGCCGTCGACGACAGCGAGCGGCGGTCCGTCGGGCGCGGGATGCAGCCGCAGACTCGCATGCAACTCCCGCAGCGTGCGCCGCAGGGATAGGACGCCGTGCGACTCGAGCAGCTCCAATATCAGCGCGAACTGGTCCGCCGTGTTTCGCTCGTTCTCCTGTACGACAACGAGCACGGCCGGGTCTAGCAAGCGGCACGGCTGTGGCAGCGCCTGCTCGTAGGCCGCGCGGCGGGCGGTAAACTGCTGCTGCCTCAACCACGCCGCCACCGCAGCCGCAAGCGCGGCAGGCACAAGCCTCACCGTCGTGCTTCGCTCCAACGTCTCGCCGTCGTCGAGGTCGCGGGTTGCGGCGGCCTCCTGACTGTTGAGACCGGTGGCGGCGCCGCCACCGCCGCGGCCCCGGAGTGCGCGTTGGTAGGCGGCGAGGTGCCGGTGAAAGTCGCTGACAAGGGGTGAGAGGCCAGCAAAGGAGCAGCTGATGGTGTTGATCTCCACATTCTTCCAGGCCGCCGCAGCCGCGTCAGCCTCCGCCGGCGCCGACGGCGCCGCACCACCGCGCATGTAGTCGGTGCGAAAGACGCCAAGCATGAGGGGCTGGTAGGGGGCGGCGCCGAGGTAGACCTCCCGCAGGATGCCCACAAGCCTCCCCGTGAACTCCGTGTCACTCGCCGCCGTCTCACGGAGCGCCTCGAGCAGAAAGGGGAAGTTCCTCGCCGTGTTATTCACGGCCTCGTTCCACAGCAGCTGACGGCGGCAAAGCGTGTCAAACTCACCGCGGTGCATCCCCAGCGGCTGCAGCGTCAGGGCGGGGTGCGTCGTTGCGCCTTCACACCCGTCCACCCGCATCGTGAGCCCCAACGCCGCGCACTTCGCCACAAGTTGCTCCGTCCCCTCCAAGAAATCCATTCGCCTCGATATGTCTCTCTCTCTTGTGTGTGTGTGTGTGTGTGTGGTGCTCGTAGTGCACGTGCTCCTGTAGTAAGCACAGAATGCACAATACTGAGAGGCCGCAACGGTTCGACTCTACGGGCAGACACATACGCAGAGGGAGAGGGAGACGCAGGGAAAAAATGCATTTACGTTGAAACCCGCAGAGAAAGAGAGTGAGACGCCAGTTTTTCTTCCCTGCGTGCTCTACCGATGAGGAGGATGAGGCTGGCATTAAAGCAATCTGGCTGCAGCTGTAATAAATAGAGGCGCACCCGACATTGAGAGAGAAACCCGCAAACATTTCAACAGCGGCGGCGGCGGCGGTGACACTCCCCCTCCCCTCCCGCCTAAAACCCACCGCCTCGTCGCGGGCCGCGCGCGTGTGACACGCGGCGCCAGCGCCCAGCGCCAGAAAAGCAGGCAGGCAGGCAGGCAGCAGCCGCCTCTTCTTCCCTCGCGGAATGCCGCTGGGCAGCGAATTCCACTGCAAACGACACACTCACACACACCCCACCCCTTCATAGCCCCTCACACACCGGCTGGTTGCTCCTTCCTTGTCTCATTAAAACCAAATAGAAAAAAAAACCCGGCAACAATCATCCACACATACACACTCTTGCGAAAGCTCCTCCCTACGTATTTTGTTATCCTCTCGTGTGCGTGTGCGTGTGTGCCCCACCGCGACACATCACAACTTCTATGGGAAACGGAGGGACCTCCTCTCTCCGGCAGCCACAAGTCCCGCTCCTTTTCTTCGCCTTCGTCCTCATCTCACTTCATTTATTATGTTTTCCTTTGCTACCTCTTTTTTTATTATGTATTTTTATTTTGAGGGGTCGCCGCCACAACAAGCAGAACAACGCGCCCCACGTCCCACAGACACCGCCCAATGCGTGCGTGCGTGCGTGTGACTATGGGGGTCTGAGAAGCCTCACACATGCACAGGCACAGAGGCGCAAGCCTCAGGGACGATCGATGCACGGCCGCCTTCACTCAATGGGTCCCCTCTATGCAAATTACACACACACACACACACCTACATCTATGCATGTACTCGTCAGTGCGCAAGGCACACTTGTGCCCGCGGCCTGCGGTCCAGAAATAAACAAAAGTAACACGTACACACACCACTCACGCAGAGAAGCAAAGAAAAAGACGGATGCAGCTACTACAACGCGTTTACCTTGCGAATTCCCCTAGTGAGGGACCAATGTGCACCTCCGCCTTAAATGGGACATCCAGCTTCATGTCAGGCCACAGGCTGCTCATCACCTTTGTGGTGGAAGACATAATGTCCGAGACATCGTGCATGACCTCCTCCGCGACGGAGGCGTGTGCATCAATCCAGACACAGTCATGGACGGTGTTTACCAAAAATGCTTTCCCGCCGTAGTTGTCTCGCTCGTAGAAACGACGCACAATCCTACCACACATAATTTGTACAATCTCTCCCGCCAGGCCCTGTACTGGATAATTCTTCAGTCGTGGAATACTCTTCTTGTCCTTTGCAAAGTCAAACTTGCTGCCTGTAGGCACCACAAAGTAATGCAACGGCTCCGTTAGCAGAATCATGCGTCGCAGGGCGGGAGACCACGTGGCCGCGTCCAGTGTACGCAGTCGTAGCAGCCGATCCGCGCCCGCCTCCACACAGTCCATGACCAGGCGGTAGTAGCGACCCAAATCCCGGTAATGTTGCTCCTCTGCCGTTATGAGGCGCTCCACCTCCTGCTCCGTCAAGCCTGTGGTGGTGGCAATGGTGGCAATACCGGCACCGTACTGTCGCTGGAAGGAGAACGTTTTTGCCTGCTGCCGTAGCTGAATGTAATGTGGATCCTTCTCCCGCTTGGCTTTCCGCACCACATCTTCGTACGGTTCCTTGGTCATGAGCGAGACACGGAGGCAGTGAAAGTCCACCTTCTCGTGCAGCTCCTGCAGCATGCGGGCGTCGCGACTAAGTGCCGCCAACACGACCACCTCCAGCTGGCTGTAATCCGCCTCAATCATGCGCCCCTCGCGTCTACCGAAGCGGGAGACGATAAGGCGACGCAAGTCCTCCTCCCTCGGAATGTTCTGCAGGTTTGGCGACTGCGACGACAGCCGGCCGGTGGCGGTGACGGTGTGGCACAGCTCACCATGGACGCGGTCCTTACACTCCGGCAGCACCGCGCGGAAGAGGGCGCCCTCCTCAAAGAGCTGCATCTTCTTCTCCGTAAAACGCAGCTGCTGCAGGGCCTTGAAGAAGGAGAGGTCAATCTGCTTGTCGGAGGAAAGGAGGACCGTTATGCGCTCAATGGCGTCCGCCCCGGAGGACGCGTTGCGGCCACGCAGGGAGCGATGCAGCAGCGGGTGAAGTTTTGCCGGGGTCACAATCCACAGCAGCCCACGCGTTGAGGCCCGTTCTTGGCCGTGCAGTCCGTGAAGCTCGGCCGCTAGTGACAGGGGGAGCGGGTGGGTGGTGCGGAACGGGTCCCGCGTCGTGCCTACCAGCGCCGCACAGTGGGAGACCAGCGCCTTGAGGGCGCCCTCAAACCCGCCCACGGAGACAAACTCCCGTGCGAGGGCCTCCCAGTTTCCCCGCGCAGAAAGGCCCGCATGCTCCGCCACATCTACAAGACCCAGGAAGTCACTCTCGAAGCTGTCCGCGCCCTGCGGCGGCGGCGGCAGTGCACGCTGTAAATCGCAAAAACACACGCGCTCAAGAGGGGAACTCATCCGCAGAGTGTGGGCCCAGCACCGTCTCTGCAATGGCCTGCACAACTCCTGTGTCGACCAGGGCGGCAAGTTTGTCGTGGGTGCAGTTTGTGAGAATGAGCAGGTTGCGAAGGTCGTAGCTCTTCTTGCCGTATTTTTTAAGCGGCTGTAGTGCCCGCAGGGGCTTGTAGTTGACAATCTTTTCCTTCAGCTGCGTCACGGTAAGCATCTCGGGCTCATCAGTGACCGGCACAACGTCGTCAATGGCAACGCTGTACTTCAACTCATCGCCAGGGTCAGTGCTGGGGCAGTGCAAACACACCAGCTCAAGAAAGTTGCCCGGACGCACCTTACACGTGAGCACCACCACGGCCGTGCAGTGCAATAGGTTTTCTAGCGTGTTGCGTGTGGTGTACTTGTCGATGGTCTCCAACGCCGCCCGCACTTTACTCTCCGTCACGCTTGTCTTGCCCCACCGACTCCCGCTGCTGTTGCTGGATGCCTTGAGCGCAATCAGGCTTTCAGGCTGCGTATACGCCACTGGGGTCGGTGTCGCCGTCACACGACAGACGGCGTGCGGAAAGAGCGCCGTCACGGGAACCCGTGCCGTCTGCACCGGCACATACCGAGCCCCCAGGTGACGGCAAAGTGCCCCACCGTAGATGATTGTGCTAATGTCCTGCGGAGAGCGGAAGTTTATCCGCTTCCGCACCTCGTCGTCCATGCCTGTAGTGAACTCCATAATTTTATCATTTACAAGCCGCTCCAGCTTTTCATGCGACCTTTTTAGGTGCAGCGAAAACTGCGTCACGTCTGGTTGCGGGGAGATCTGCAGCCCACGAAGCTCCATCTCCGTGGCGGCCAAGAGGCCGTCCATGCGGTGTAAAATGGAGATCAACTGGCGCGTGCTCACGGCGATGTCGAGTTGTCGCTCAAAGATAATTCGCAGCTTCTCCAGCGGGTGCAGCTTGGCCTGTCCAATGTGGTAGTGCAGCAGGGTGCGCTCCATGGTGGCGAGGTTGTCGTGGTTAAAACCCTTCAGCAGGTACTGCGCGTACTGGGCGCACCAGATGCGGCCCCCGTTGTGCAGGAACTGCTGCAGCCTCCCGCTGCTCCGCAGGAACAGCAGCGCCCGCTTCACGTCCCACGCCACAAGGATGGCGTTGGCGGCGCGGGGCTCAGCCGCCCCTCCCACCCCGCTACTGATCGGGAGCTCCGCGGGCACGCAGCGCTCCGGCTCCACAAACGCCTTCACGTCCCCGTTGGCCGCCAGCCGCGCCGAGAGCGTCTCCACCGGCGGCGGGTTTGCCGCCTCCGCGTCGAGCGAGCGCCAGAGCTGCCCGTGAAACTCCACAATCCCATTTCGAGCAGAGAAGGGGTTGTCGGCGCGGCGAGCCGCCGTCACGTTCGCGGACTTCACCTCCATAAAGAAGCACCCAAAGCCGCGCAGCCTCGTGCGCCACTCCTGCTCCAGCGCAAGCCGCTCATTACTATTAAAGATGGCCTTGATGTGCTCCTCCAGGCGCCGGTTCAACTTGCCCCGCGCCATGGCCCCGCCGCCGCCCGCCCCTCCCGCGGCAACGCCCAGGGCGCCGCCGCCGCCAGCCCCTAAGTTGTGTGCGACGTGCCCAAGCGCGGACTCCAAAAAGGTGGGCACAATCTCACAGGTGACGGAGCGCCGGTGCAGCGGTGTGAAGCTCCGTGGCGGCCGCGGGGCCCGAAGTGAGCCGTCCTCCGTCCGCATCAGTCCCATCCAGGTGTACCGCGAGAAGAGGTCCAGCGCCTGAATCAGCGTCATTGTAAGCGTCGGCCGGTTCGGGCGTCGCAGCCCGAGTTGGTTCTCTATGTCCTGCAGTAGAATCGACATCTTTTGTTTTCCCTTCCGCATAAGCGGAAATTGCGCAAACGACTCCGCTGCGGTGCCGGAGCCGATGATGTAAATGACGCTCTTCTCCCCAAGCAGTAGCGGCTCCACAAACTCGCCCGTCAAGAGGTCCTGCATGGGCGGCACCACACTTCCCGCCCCGGACGCGCTCGCCAGCGGGGCGGAGACAAAGACAAGCATCCAGGACTCCTTCTTCCGCGAAGTCCCGTGACTAGACCCACGCGACGCCGCGGACGAGGATGACAAGGCACTACGCTTGCCAGGCTGCTGCAGCGCCGTGGCCGCCGCAGATAGCTGTGCGTGAAGGAGTTGCTTGTTGAGTAGTGGTTGACCAAGCTGGGCCCGGAACTCAAAGGCGGCTGTCACAACTTCCATGGGCGAGCAGGATCCCGGGGAATGAATAAAACTCCGCCACGCTTCCGCGTGTGCGTTAAGAATGGCGTTACTGAGCAGCTCTGTTTTTACGTGTTCGTCTCGCTTTGTCTTGCACAGGGTCTCTCTCAGTTTGCTGTAGGACATGAAGACGTGGTCGGGCTCCTCCAACGCCTTTTCTCCCCCTGCCTCAGAGGCATCCGCACGACCCGTGACGTTGTACAGCACGGCGTTTTCCAGCAGCACCGCGTTGGCCGTCGATAGCGTTGGCACGAAGAGCACCACCCAGGAGGCGTGGAATTGGCGCACCCACGGCATGTACACCGACCGCACCTCATCCAGCCGACACTGCAGCTTGGCCCCCGAGGCAATGTCTTCAAACACAACGGCAAAGTTGATGTCACGTTTGGTGGAAAACGTCACGGCAAAGGCGCGGAATGCCTTCCCCGGCTGCTGCATCAGCGTCGCAAGGCGCAGATTCAGGGGGGACTCAATATCAAGCAGAGAACCAATCTCCGCGGCGGCGGCGTTGCCTCCCCCACCCGTTGCAGACGCAGACGCAGACGCAGACGAAGGCGAGACGGCAACGGTAGGAGGCGCACCGCTCTCCTGCCGGGCAACGGGGTTAACGGGCGCCCCCGACTTCGGCAGCATCGCGGCCGCGTTTTTGGCGGCGGCGGCCGTTCGCATTTGCGGCGCTGCTGATGACTCGACGGCCGCTTTCCGCGCCGGCGCCGGAGCGGTTGGGCGTTGCTGCTTTTCTTCGGGCTGCCCCGGCTGCCGCGTGGCCGCGGTCGCCACCGCAGCTGGAGGCGTGCTGCGGGAGTTCTTCGGTCGGCTCCGGCGCCGCGTAATCATCGACGCGAAGCGACGGCACTCCCGCAGCACGCCGTCCCCCCGCACGAGTGACGCACACCGCCGGGGCCTCCGCCCCAGCAGCAGCCCGCTTCTATCATCGTGGCACCGCCGCGCCGCGGCGGCGGTGGTGGTGGAGGAGGTGGCGCGACGTGCCCCCTGCAGCAGCAGCAGCAGCTGCGTGCACTGGTGCAAGGCCCGCCGCTGCATCTAACGAAACAAGAGGAAAACAAACGAAGCAAACACACACACACACAGACACAAAAAAATGTTTCCAACACCCCCACTCCCCGCTTCCCAGTAGACCAAGCCAAGCCAGAGAACACCTCGACGGTGGCAGGAAGGGTTACACGTGTGCGTGTGTGTAGGCGCAAAAGTTGTATTAGACGACAACGAGGAGGACAAGGGGGCGATATGACTGGCGACGGCAGAGGCAACACCAACAGCAAGGGACGTGCCACACACACACACACACACACACGCACACACACGCACACACACGCACACAGCCTTCTTTTGCTCTTGTAATGTGTCACTGTGGCTCCGCCCAGCACCCCGCCACGCCTACTCCCTTTTTTCCTCCTTGTTGCTCTTGCCGCCTTCGTCCCGCCCCACCGCTTCTGTGCCTGCTACTAGTCTACCTGCTGCCCTTGCTGCGCCTTCTTCCTATAGGGCCCACGCACACACACACACACACCTTTTGAGCACCGCTGATCCTGCTGCGGCGAGTTCACCCACACACACACACTCTCGATGGAAAAGAGGCAGAGAGTGGGAAGGGAAAAGAGAAAAACAAAACGGAAGAGTAAAAATACAGCAAAAAAAGAGGCAGGATATCCGGCGATAGGAGGCTCAATCCGCAGCAGCCACCATCTCTGCAGTGCAAACCTCAAGGCACACATCCCCCCCCACCTTCCAGCCAATCCATTTCCTTCTATCTCTCTTCCTCTTCGTCCTTCTTATATTTATATATATATTTATGTGTGTGTGTGTGTATCTTCCCCCGTGCGCCCTCCTCCCTTTTACTGTGGTTGCGCTTACAACGGCCACGCCCGTCTTCGCATGGCGGTGGGGTGGGAGGGAGAAAAACGGCCGCCAAACAAAATGTGTCGACGCACGCACCCACGCAAGCCCTTGCAATTGAAAAAAAAAAGACCACCAACAGGGCAACGATGAAAGCATGAAAACAAAACAAACCTCCGAAAAAACAAACGCAGAAGATGCCGGGGGGCGGCCACCGCCGCCCCTTCGCCCTGGTCGTGGCATGAACCTGCATTGCTCTCCAGCAGTCCACGCACGCACGCACGCACGCACAGACACACACAAATACATACATACGCTTATGTGGCCGCGCCCGTTACATTTCCTCGTCCCTGTCTCTCTCGCTCTCTCTCTCTCACACACACACACACACTTTATTCCTTCTTCGCTTTGTATTTAACAGCCGCACTAGTGGAAGGGACCTTTTTTTCTTTTCCGTCTTCTTCTTTTACCATCCTTCTCCTTACAATTATCATGCCTGCAACTGCTTTTTCAGGTCCTTCAGGCACTTCAGAAATGACCGGTTCGTGGTTTCCGTCTTCGCCTGCTCTCCAAAGTCTCGCATGACGCGGGCGAGTTTGGCGCCGAGCGCGCTGCCATGAAGGAGTTCTTCCCGCTCCGAGAGAATATCGCTGGCGATGCTAACGACCGCCTCCTTATCGGCCTCCGTCTCTGCGGCCTCTACGAGTTGCAGCAGCAGCGAACACCACACCTCATTCGGCGTTGCCGCGTTCTCCACGAGTTCCAAGTAGATGCTTTCGCTCTCCTTTGTGAGCTTGGTAAAGAACTGCAGGAGCAGCGGGGGCTGCTGAGCCGCCAGCAGATACTCCAGTCCTTGGAGGTGCTGCTTCTCTTGCATCAGCGACAGCGCCGTTGCGAGAATTGTCTCGGGGGCTGGCGTGTTTCCCTGAAGGGCGCCCGTGGCGCGGAGAGAGCAGTTCTCAAGCGCCGCCTTCTGCTGCTCAACCGTCTCTCGCAGCGTGCACAGCTCCTTCCGCATGCGACGCATCTCCTCCACCACACCGCTAGACATAATGGTGTTCAGCTCCTTCTGCAGGGAGGCGTTCTCCTTTACGAGGGTGGTGAGAGAGCCGTTGATGCCGCCGAGCACCTCGGCAAGTTCGCGCTTTACCAAATTCTCCACCGTTTGCGTCACCTGCGCCACAAACTGTGTGGTGCTCTCCCGCATTGCTTCATCGATGCGGTTCTTGATGATATTCTTCTGTGTTTGCCGCACTCGGCTTCCTATCGCGTGCCGCACCTCGTGGTCGAGGTGCAGCGTCATGGCCTGGTCCACGCCACGCTTCACCCCCTTCGCAATGTTGCGGGAGAGCGAGTCCGCGATAAACACAAGGGTGTACGTCTCAAACACGGATGGCGTCGCCGCAGCCGCCGGGCGCGGTGGCGGCTGCGTTTGCGGCGTAGAACGACTTTGCTGAAGCTCGGTCATCTGTGCCTCTAGGCCGAGGTTGAGAAGCTGTTCGTGGTCCCGTCGAACCGTGTCGGGGAGCAGCTTCAGCACCTGCAACGTGTTGGTGATCACAGAATCCAGCTGCGCCACCGCATGGCGAACCTCCTCCTCCGACTGATACACGGCTGCCGCCAGCACGCCGTCCGTGGGCGCCTGCGGGAGAGAAGAGTTGTGAAGCGCTGGGCGTGACCCATGCACCGTTGCAGGGCTCGTGACACACGCTGGGGAGGACCCCTCGCCATCTCCGTCTGCCGTTGCTGTTGTTGTTCCTGTTGCTGCCGCGGCTGTGGGCGGCTGCGTCGCGTTGGCGCCACTATTAGCTGCCACCAACCCAGCCGTTACGGGACGACTACTGTGCCCGTATGGGCTGGTCCGCTGCGGGGCGGCAGCCGCAGTGGCTGTCGCAGTGGACTGCAACGTGGCCGGCGATCCGGCGGCGACAACGACGTTCGTTTTGGAGGCACTAAGCCCCAGCTGGCTCACTAGGTTGGCAATGATCTTCTTCCCCACTCGCGGCCCCTCAGCCTGCGCCGTCGGCAGCGACGCGGACGCCGTCGCCGCCGGGACGGGGGACACGCCAGCGGTGACTGTGGCACTCGTCGTCTTCGTCGTGGTGGTGGTGTCGGGCTTCAAAGACGCGCCCCCGCGTTTCCCCGTCGTCACAGCCGGCGGCTTTTGCCCGTGCGGCTGCTCTTCCCTGCGGGAGGGCTTGAGATGAAAGATCGTTAACCGATTTGACATGTCAGCCAAGACGCAGCATCCATCGGCGGTGCGATTGAAGCAGAAGCCGCGGCGCTGCAACTGACACGGCATCATGAAGTAGTTGCAGACGAAGCTGCTCGGGGACTGCACGCTCACCAGCGCCAGCTGCTTCCTGTCATCAAAGACGGCAAAGGTCTCGCGTGAACTCTCCATCGCAACAATCGGCCCATCAATGACGAACTTCCGCAGCAGACTGGGCTCCGCCACTCCCGTAAGAAGCCACTGATACACCGCTCTTGTGGAGGCGGCCACGAGAACGGCGGCGTTTTCCGCAACAGCGGCGTCAAGGAGGTGCAGTGCCCTGACCTGCTCGCCCTCGCAGCAGGCCCACGACGGGGTGCTGCGGTTTCGCAGCGTGCAGGCCGCCACCATGGTTGGCTCCGTCGTGAAGGTGAACCACCCACCGGAGCCCACTGAGCACAGGCTGTTCTCGCTAACGGGGTGGCTCAGGGCGCGCAGAGTGGTGCAGTTCTGCTGCAGCGATGCCTCCAACGACTCCCCGTCGAAGCGCTCAATGAGGGAGGAGCTGTCGAGAATGGCGGCCTGCGTCTCGTAGAGGACGAGCAGGTCGGGCCGCTGGCTCTCCGCGTTGATGAAGAAGGAGAAGCACGGGAGGGTCACAGGGTCCTGCAGCTTAAAGTAGACCTTCACCGTCAGGTGGGCCGCGGGGTTGGGGTCGCCGTTGCCCACCTCCGTTTCGTCCGTCACGACCCACACGAAGAACTCGCCCTCGCCCGCAGACGCCGCCACATTACTGCGGTAGTTCACAAACTTCACCGCGTGGATGGGCTTCGCGTGTGCCCGCACGCAGCCCTTCAAAAGGTTCGAGCGCTTCACCACCCGCAGCACGTGGCGCCGCTTCATGGTGTAGGCGAGGTAAAACTGCGAGTCCGCGAGCACGCGCGGCACCTCGGGCACCTCATTGAACGTCGCAGCGTCCACCGACCACACCCGGCCCTCGCTGCTGCTGGACTTTGCGTGGTTAAACAAATCCACAGTCTGCGTCATCCCCGTTTCGCGCCGCGGTGCCGGTTTATCCCGATTATCGCAATGCCCCTCTTTCCCTCTCTCTCTCCTACTCGCCACAGGAATTTATACGTCTATATGTACTCCTCCTTGAGCTTTGCGTGCTCCCTGCTCAATATTGTTCTTCTAGCTGATACGCGGTGGGGGGAGAAGAGGCGAGAGGAGGGAGAAGAGGAACGTGCCTCAAGGTCGTGGCTGCGACGGCCAAAGCGTGTCGCATCCAGACAACGCCACGTTGGACTGCATGCCAACGGCATTTCAGTTTTTGTAGGCCTGTGGCATGAGCCACTCGCCCAAGAGGTGGGGGGTGGCAATTCATTCGACTTCGTTTCCAATTGCCATTTCCACCTCAGTAACAAAAAAAAGTATTTGCTTCCCCGTCTGCCACCGATTGCTGTGGCCATTCAGGACTACACCCCCGGTAGATAATGATAAAAACAAATCGTTTTCAGTGAAGTAAAAATTCCTTGTCATCAGAGGGTTGTGGGCGCGTGCGGGCAAAAGAAAACCTATCGATGACGATAATCTGGTTTTCGCACGCCCCTTTGCCCCACGCTGCTCGTGCTGAAGGAAAAATAGTAAAAAGAACAAAAAACATCCCTTCACACAACGCAGCATCCCACGCAAAAAACAACCACACTACAAGTTAGCATTTTGTTGTTTTTTCCCCTC